CCGATTGAGGGCGACAGTGAGAAGTATCCTAATTGTGGTCATCTTGGCGACGGGGCTGAAAGTTTCGTCGTAGTTTTCTCCGTGCTTTTGATTGTAGCCGAGGGCCACGAGGCGAGCTTTATAGCGGTCAATTTGGCCGTTGGGTAAGATTTTGGTGCGGTAAGTCCATTTGCATCCGAGTATAGTTTTGTTCGGAGGTGTAGGGACAAGAGTCCATGTCTTTTGCTGTTGGAGAGCATGAAATTCGGATTCCATTGCCTGTTGCCAATGCGGTATGTGACGGGCCTGATTATAATTAATAGGTGTATCGTTATCATTTTGTTTGCTGAGAAGAGAGTATATCGGGTTCGGCTTGTAGATTCCCGATTTAGATCTCGTTTGCATTGAGTGTTTCGACGGATTGATAGAGCGGGTATTGGAGACCGGAGGTGGTTCAGATATAATGGGAATAGGGGTGAGAGTTTCTGGTTGTTGAATTATGTTGGTGGGATTAGTAGGATTGGGTGTGTAGGAGTGATTCACGGTGGAAGTGGGAACTAAGAGGAGCGGTGGAGTTTCTTGGTCAGCCGTTGGTGTAGTGGCAGTGGGATTGGTGTGATAAGGAAAAATGGATTCTACAAAGACCACGTGACGGGATATGTGAACTTTGTGCGTTAGAGGATTGAAGCATTTGTAGCCTTTGTGGTTTGGGGAGTAGCCGATGAAGATGCAGTCCTGCGAGCGAGGAGCAAGTTTATTCTCGGAGTAAGGTTTTAGCCATGGGTAGCATAAGCACCCAAAGACCCGAAGGTGGTTGTAAGAGGGTTGTTTGTTGTAAAGGAGCTGATAGGGGGAGATGTGGCTGTTGGATTTGTTTGGTAGGCGATTTATAAGATGAATGGCTGTAGATACCGCATCTGCCCAAAATTGATTTGGTAAGTTGGCGGCGTGAAGGAGAGTCCTGGTTAGTTCGAGAACATGTCGGTGTTTGCGTTCTGCCAAGCCATTCTGTTCCGGAGTATGAGGGCAGCTGAGACGTTGGTGAATACCTTGTGCATGAAGAAAATTTTTGAAGTTAGTACTGGTGAATTCACCGCCCCCATCAGATTGTAAAATCTTGGGGATTTTGTTGAACTGTGTAGAAATTAATTTGCATAAGTGTTGAAAGTGTGAAAAAGTTTCTTGCTTTGTATGCATAAAATAAATCCAAGAGAATCTTGTATAATCATCAGTAAAGATTGCATAATAACGAAACCCGGATAAAGAAGAAATCGGAGACGGTCCCCATACGTCCGAGTGAATGAGATCAAACGGCGTATGGGTGACAGAGGTTCTTGTATTAAATTGGAGCTTGTGGCTCTTTGAGATATTACAAGATTTGCACAAGAAATTGTTGGTAACAGTAAAGGGAGGAGAAATAGATTTTGCTAGGCGTTGTAGAAGCTGGATGTGCGGATGCCCGAGTCTGTCGTGCCAAGTCGTCATAGAGTTTCTGACGGTTTGAAGAGCGACAGGTTCAGAGCTTGGCGGCGTCTGAACATGGTATAACCCATTACGAAGATGGCCACGTAGAAGTAGCCGATTGTCCTGTGAATCCTTCATTTCAAAGCCATTAGCATTAAACATGATTGAAATAGAGTTATCTTTGGTAAGCCGAGAAACTGAGATTAGGTTGTGGGTTAAAGAAGGAACATGAAGAAGATTGTTTAAATGTAGCTTACGCGTGGAGTCAGGTAAAGGTAGTAATCCTTGCCCGGTGTGTTGGATCGGTGCGGAAGACCCGTTAGCAACGGATATAGTATCGGATCCATTGTATGCCATTTGCTGGTGTAAATTTGCAGTGTCCGGCGTGAGGTGGGTGGTAGCCCCGGTATCAAGAATCCAATCTTGAGTTGGATAGGAGATCGGTTGAGCGAGCATGGCTCGAGGTTGATAGGGCGTTGTTGGTGCGAACTTGAAGTTGCATCGGTGCCAGCAATTGATTGCTATGTGACCTGTTTTTCCGCAGATTTGGCAGATGGATTTGGTTGAAGACGTTGGCTGCGGTTGTTGCTGAGTCGGAGGAGGAAAATTGGGGTAGGTGCTGACGGGCTTGTTCTTGATATATCGTTTTTGTTGCTTGCCACGGGTGTAGTTGGTATTGTTGGAGAAGAATGCCGTTTGATCTGTGGTGGGTTCTTTTTGTTGATCTTGATTGACGTGAATCTCCTCGCTGCAGAGGAGCGAATACAGGGAATCAAGATCTGCGGGTAGAGGTGATGTGCGGATGTAAGTCTTGAAAGAGTTGTAGGATTGAGGTAGCCCATTTAGGATGTAATGGACGATATCTTCTGGGTCGAGCTTTGAGCCAGAAGCCGCAATATTGTCAACTATGTGCTTGATCTGAGTGAGGTATTGTTGCATAGAGAGATTCTTGAGTTGAATGTGGTGAAGTTCGTTCTTGAGTTGAAGAACTCGAGAGCGATTTGTCGGTTGTAGACGTCTTTCAAGTATCGTCCAAACTTCGTGCGCGGTGGTGGCGGTGATGACGTAGGGAAGAATGGAAGGAGTAATGGTTGCAAAGAGAGCCGAGATTAAGGTGCTGTCCACCAGATGCCAAGTTTCGTATTCCGGAGAGGTAACGTCTGCCGGAGGGGGTGAAGCACCGGTTAGATGACCGGAATATTTGTTGGCTGTTACCTGTTGAAGAACTTGGATACGCCAGATAGCGTAATTTTCGATCGTGAGGGGGTGAGGTATGAGATTCTTGATATTGGAGATAAGGAATTTTAGGGGAGCCGGAATGATCATCTCGATGGAGTTGCTGCTGTGCTGGATAGAGGAGGGAGGGTGGGAAGAAGAATATGTGTCTTGATCTCCCATCTGGGCACTGATACCATGTAAGAAGAAGGCTAGATGCAGTAGATGCCCATGGAGGAATCGGAACAAAGACAGGGAGAGAGACAGAGGTGAAAGAAGAGGAAAAGTAATTCTTAATTCATGTATATGTAAAGCAGATACAGAGAAGCTATAAATAGAAGAGTACAGAGGCAATATTGTAATTAAGTAACGATTATATTAATAAGCTGATATAATATGCTAATATCCCCCCGCAAATTAATCATTCTGATCTTGAATGGTTAATTTGGATCGGAGATCTTGGAACCGAGCTTTGTTGAAAGATTTTGTTAGAATGTCGGCGACTTGATCCTTGGAAGGAATGTGCTGAAGAAGAATGCTGCCGGTGTGTATATGTTGACGGATAAATTGATAGTCAATTTCTATGTGTTTTGTACGAGCGTGAAAAACGGGATTCTTAGCTAGTGCAATGGCGGAGATATTGTCACAGTGGATCGTAGTGGGTGATATTTGTTCGGTGTGTAGCTCGGAAACTAGCCTTCTCAGCCAAATAACGTCTGAAGTTGCGGCTGCTAGTGAGCGGTATTCGGCTTCGGTGGAGGATTTGGCGACGGTTGGTTGTTTCTTGACGGACCAAGACACGAGATTGGGTCCAAGAAACGAGCAGAACCCGGATGTAGATTTTCTGTCCAGGTGGTCCGATGCCCAGTCGGCATCTGTATAAGTGTGTAGATGTAGTTCGCCGGTCTTGATTGGAAGGCCGAATGATATTGTGCCTTTGATGTAGCGAAGTACCCGAGTTAAGGCGTCATAGTCTTGAATGGTAGGAGACTGCATGTGTTGACATAATTTGTTGGTGGCGAAGGCTATGTCGGGCCTCGTGATTGTAAGGTATTGGAGGGAGCCAGCTAGACGGCGATAGAGCGATGGATTGTTGAACAGTTTGCCGTTGTCCGAGTGAGCTGTTGTGGGCGGTGTGCTAGGTGTAGAGGCCGGTTTGCAGTCCAAAAAACCGGCATCTTTGATCATTTTCGCCGCATAGTGTGCTTGTGATAGGAAATATCCTTGAGTATTTTGCTGAATTTGGATGCCCAAGAACAGAGAGATCTGTCCCATTTGCTTAAGTGCAAAGGCTGCGTGGAGATCATGAAGGAGTTCTTGTATTGCTTTTTGGTCATTTCCTGTTACAAGAAGATCATCAACATATATTAGAAAGAAAATGCGTATGGTGTTTTTGGATAGAATTAAGAGGGAGGGATCGGAGCGACTAAACCGAAATCCTTTTGATTTGAGAAAGTCCGTTAGCTTTTGGAACCATTGGCGAGGCGCTTGCTTAAGGCCGTAGAGGGATTTTAGTAGCTTGCAGACCGAATTTGGTGAAGCGGGATCGAGGAAGCCGGGAGGTTGACGCATGTATATATCTTCGTGAAGATCGCCGTGTAAAAAAGCGTTAGAGACGTCAAGTTGAAGGACGGGCCATTTCCGATTGAGGGCGACAGTGAGAAGTATCCTAATTGTGGTCATCTTGGCGACGGGGCTGAAAGTTTCGTCGTAGTTTTCTCCGTGCTTTTGATTGTAGCCGAGGGCCACGAGGCGAGCTTTATAGCGGTCAATTTGGCCGTTGGGTAAGATTTTGGTGCGGTAAGTCCATTTGCATCCGAGTATAGTTTTGTTCGGAGGTGTAGGGACAAGAGTCCATGTCTTTTGCTGTTGGAGAGCATGAAATTCGGATTCCATTGCCTGTTGCCAATGCGGTATGTGACGGGCCTGATTATAATTAATAGGTGTATCGTTATCATTTTGTTTGCTGAGAAGAGAGTATATCGGGTTCGGCTTGTAGATTCCCGATTTAGATCTCGTTTGCATTGAGTGTTCAAATATGAAAATAATTTTGATATATTAATATTCAATTGTTCGATATTACCTGCTGCGCATATAGTGGTATGTCTCTCTCTCTATCCATACTCATACTCGTCAAAGCAATCAGAACGCAGCTAATAAGCTTCTGCGTTTTCTACCGCAGGTGTCCCTCTTCCCTCGAGGTGGAATTCGGGCAGAGAACCAAGAAGAGGAGCAAGGCGAGATTCAAATATGAAAATAATTTTGATATATTAATATTCAATTGTTCGATATTACCTGCTGCGCATATAGTGGTATGTCTCTCTCTCTATCCATACTCATACTCGTCAAAGCAATCAGAACGCAGCTAATAAGCTTCTGCGTTTTCTACCGCAGGTGTCCCTCTTCCCTCGAGGTGGAATTCGGGCAGAGAACCAAGAAGAGGAGCAAGGCGAGAAGTGAATGGAGACGAGCTCTTAGTAGGGTTCCTGCGTCTCGCTTCCCGGAATGGGAACTAGGGTTCCGATATCACATCCCTACGGGCTAAGACCCGCCAGCTCCTTCATTGGAGGATCATTGCACGACCTGAACTCCGTGGAGACGCGCAACGGCGAGATCGAGGGGATCAGCGACGTTGATCGCGACGCTGTCACTGAAGACAGCCTTGACAACGACGAAGAGTCCACTTCTGTGGTTCGCCCCGCCAATTTTTTACCCTCGCTTTCTCTTTCTCATCGGTTTGCTGTTTCTCCATTGATTGCTAGCGAAAACCCTAAAAAGGCTGGCTGTGCTAATTGATTTTTTTTTTCTCATTTTTGCGCTTGGAAGCATGAGATGATGCGTCTAATTTGGTATGTTTGATGCATCAGGATTGCATACATGATTCATATAGGAATTCGTTGCAACCTCTCCATGGCGTTGGAGTTGACGAAGAACAATCTGCTCTTGAGAGTGATGGCAGGCCCCCCACTCCTTGTTATAGCATTCTGACAGTTGATGGTAAATTCTTTTTGCTCTTTTGGGAATTCATTTAGAAAATTATAATCTTGCACCCGTTCAACACTTCAGCAACCTTTTATCGGAGGTGCTTATTTTGAAGTTGCTATTTTAATACTGTGATAGATGTTTTACCAATTGATGCTGCAAGGGCGAGATTCTTGCACATTATTGTGGATCACTTTGTGAAGGAGAATGTGGTAGAAGTGACTGACTCTTCTGTTGCTGAATATGGTCATGGGCATGATAAACACAAAAGAAAGCTTCACGAAGTCTGTTATGAAGGTGACCCAAGGTTTGTATTGCCCTTGATGTACGTGGCAAACTTGTATGAGACCTTGGTTAATGATGTGAACATCCGCCTTTCTTCTTTGGCTGGGATCCGTGAAAAGACAATTGGGGTAGCACTTGAAGCAGCTGGTGGCTTGTACAGAAAACTTGCTAAAAAATTTCCTAGAAAAGGTGTGCATCAATTAAGGTCCTGCATTGCAAACTTATGTTTCTCGTTAAGGTATCTTTGCACCTTTCTTACCTCCTTTTATATACTTGTACCAGGACCTTGTAGCTTTAAGAGAAGAGAATTGGCCACTTCTCTTGAGACAAGGACAAGGTTTCCTGAGCTAGTTGTACAGGAAGAGAGACGTGTTCGTTTTGTCGTTGTGAATGGGTTGATGATAATTGAGAAGCCAGACAGTATGTCACCGGAAGATGCCGAATGGTGAGTACCGCATAAATTACTAAGCTCTTTTATGATCAATGGAACTATTGTTAATACAGAAGGCTCAGTGTTCATTAAGACATTGATTTTAGCTCATGATTCTTAGAATTTTGAACATATCAAGTTCATTTAGAGCTAGAACAATGTGTACAAGTTTCTCTTCGGAAAGTGTCATCATGGCAATTTCCGACTCGTGGTTGTGTTATATAATGATGTTTACAGTCTTGAAGGAAGATCACCTATTTGTATCACGAAATTTGTTGATAACCTGAGTGGAAGAATACGCTCCAAAATATGCTGTTTTTTTCATTGCTGTTTTTAGCAATTTTTTTATGGTTGGAGTAGATTCATTTTGAAGATGTTTGTTCTTTGAGTATCCTGTGCTATTTTGAACTTGAATTATTTTTTTGAAATGTTTTCATTATTATTGTTCATTTGTTCTTATTATGAAGTAAAGAATTACTTGGAATATGTACCAAAAACTTGCACTTTTGTCTGCATTAAATCTGACAATTGATCAGTTTTATACCACATCATTCTTATCTATTTACATATCTAATAGCTGAACTTTACTATTTACTTATTTAACACCCAGATCTTTTAATCATATAAAAAATATGACTAATATTAACTTTTATAAAGTGAATACATCTTTTGATGGATTGCTTTGATGTGATTGAGACATTAAAGTGTTATAAGTAAATATTAAAGTTTAGGTGCTAGATATGTAAAGTGTAAACAGACAAGAATTGTTTAGCTAGATATGATATATGTAAATCTACCATATTTTAATTTTCTTAGCAATCCTTCACAATTTTGCACTTATTATATGTGAGATACCTATTATTTGGTATTAACTGTTAAACTAAATTTAGTCGTTGAGAAAGAGATCAAACTCGACAACTAAAGTTTCATTTGTGTACTTTCTTAATTATATGTTTTCTTTTTATTTCTAACATGCATTACAACATGGGCTTATTTTTTGCAACTCTTGGAAGTTTAATTACTAGCTAAACTTTCCAACTTCTACTATTCACTTGTTTCTAAACTAGTATTCTCTTATTGGAAATCATTTGCCCCTTGCAATTTCATGTTGTGGAGACCTAAATTCCCTTAACAAATAAAGATTTTAAATCCTCAAAAGTCGCGATAATTTTAGTCCAAGTTTGTTCAAACTTAATACCTAAAATTGTTAATTTATTTCAAATAGATTTTTTTTTTCAAGTTTGTCAGCTAAACTCAAGCCTAAATATAAACATAATCTGTCATTCTTGCTTTATTCCTTGTATAAGGAGATGAGTTGATGGGCTTTTTAAGTTCCTTAAAGTGGCAACAATTGAATGTCTTGAAGCAATTAATGATCGGTATGAGTTTATGGTGTGCTCGTGCTTCCCTTGTGGTGGTTGGTGGCTAGTCGAGGGTGTCCAATTTGGAGGCCAATGGGCAGCCATAGGGGATGTAAAGAGAACCATGATGACCTGATCAAGGAGGGACCATTGATGGTGTTAGACAACCTTATGCGATAAGGGTTGTTGACTGGTAATATGTTTGATCAACAAGAGTTCTTTTTGGCTTTTGGCCAGTAGTTGGAGGCATCGATCGATAGAGGCGGAGACTATTGATTTTTTCGGCTAGAAAGGAGGCAACATGTATCTTATGCAATGGAAGATGATCTACTTGTAGAAGGTATTTGGTTGAAAATGTTTAGGGTAAACAAGGATTGTTGGGTTAAAATATATCTACAAACATACTCAAATACCGACATTAAATTCCTTATACTTGTTATTTTGGATTTTGGAGTGACTTTGATTTGGAGTTGGCGGGAAAGACGAAAAAGAGAGGAAAAGAAGAGAGATTAAAGTAAGAGGGATAAATATTTGTACTATTGTAATCATCTATTCATCTGTGTAAACTAATATATTTCTATGTGGTTGTGGATGTAGGCTAACATTTGCTGAACCACGTAAATTTTATGTCCCTTATCTTTTAGTGTTCTTCTTGCAGTTTATTTATTGTTCTGATTATCATCATTGCTCTTTCCTGCACACTTTTGTTTATCATATGGTATCAAAGCTATGCTTTGATGTCTTTGAAGAAAAATAGGAGTATTGACATTTGTGGACGGGCTGAAGATTGATAAGTTCGATGACAAGGATTTTAGACATTAATTAGAGGAAGCATATTGGATATATTGTTACATCAATATCTCTTGGAAACAAATGCTTGCAACCATTGGTCAATGTGATTAGATCTCTCGAATAAATTGTAATAGTGTGTTTTATGCTTGACATTGATAAACATCATTGAATTTAACATATTATATGAGCTGACCGCATATTGAGTTATAACAGTTATATTGGATAATTTAAGAAGAATGTGTTGTGAAACTAGAAATAATTTTACGTAAATTGATTATATTGGATAATTTATGGAAAAGGAGTATTGAAAATAAAATTATAGGAAATATAATATTTAGTTTAGACATATGCATTGGAGATCAAATGATGTATCTTGAGGGTAGTTTATTTTGAGGTTAGAAATGATTTGGTTGATTTGAGTTGAAGCTTCTGTTTTGTGCAAGGTAAATGAAAGTGGGTTTGAATTTTTAAAACTTTAATTAAATTGAGTAAGTTTTAATTATGAGGATTTAAAGTCATTTTTATTTTTGAGCTCTTACTTGTAATATTAATAGAATAAGATGAAGTTGATGTTTAGCTCATTATAATAAGACTTGTGATAAATAATTCATTGCTAATAGAAGAATGGGTAAATACAAAACTCATTGTAAGAACTTAGTTTTGGTAAAACAAATAGTGCTCATTGAAATTCAGTTCAATGTGTCTCACATTAGGAATTTAGCTTCAATCATGTTTAAACATTTGCATTGAAACAAAGTTGACCCTATGACAGGTACAAAAGGATTGTTGTGAAAGAAAATGGATGTAACATGGTGTGAATGGTGGTTTCATGGTTAGAAATTCTACAAAAAGATATGTACTATTTGAGATTGACACCAGTATATGATGCAATAACAAAATAACGGACCAAAATATACTCATCCTTGGAAAGGATTAGCAAGTTTGAAATTATTGGGTATAATTCCCAATATTTGATTCAAGATACTCGACTAGTTAGTCCTATTAAGTTTGTTTAGGAACACAAACAGAATCTTCAGGTTCTTTGCACAAAATTCACTTAAGCTGTTACAACTTTTCATCATGTTCTAGCCAACATCGTGGCATACAGGGGCAGGATTGACCTGTGATTAGGAGCAGCAAGCACTTAAGAGTATTTTGGTTGCACCTAAAATATGGTTGGAGTTAATCTAGCTTACCTGCCATGTTTCGAAAGCAGGTGGTAGACAAGAGCAGGAGTTAAAGATGAACAAATGAGTTGGAAAACATAGAACACGATGAAGGGATGATTCTTGATTCAAGAAGATGTTGATTTTTTCCAATTTTGGACCTAGTTGTTGTTTGTGGTATCACCTATGAGCAACAATGAACTAACATCACTTCCCAGTTATATTCCTTTAGAATCTTGTTGGAATAGTATTGGTCGGAACTTCTAATTCCATCTGCATTGAATCAATGCTTAAATAGTAATTAATTATTTAAAGTAAAAGATCATTTAAGATAACAATGGGAGTCGAAAAATAGAGAACTAGCAGTAGTTCTGGATACAATCAAATTGAAGGTAGTAGGCTGAAATTCCAAGAAAGGTCATTAGCTGGAATCTTCAGGATCAAGACCTCCTAGTTTATCTGTATTCCACTAGCTGTCGTCAAGATAACGACCATGACAACTTGGCCAACCACTTGACTACAAAAATGATACGTTTCTTGCTGATTTTCTACCTCTGGAATAGAAAAATAAGGATTGGCCTTTCTCAGAGCCTGGAAAAAAGTGCTGGGTAGAGCTCAGACCCAATTGAGAAAGGCAAGGGGATCTTAACAAACCAATTTTGACAAGGTCTTGAACCCCACTATGGCTTCTTCTCCTCACCACCTCTTCAAGATAAGAGGAAATCCATCCCAAAGTGTTGGGAACTCCTTCCCAAATTCAGAAAACTTGAAAAAAACTTCAAAAATACCTTCCTCCCAAACATAAGATTTTGGCGTTTAGAGGAAACAGCCTAAGGATTGAAAGATAATAATTATTAAAATACCCCAAATAAAAGAAAAGGCTAAAGACTAAAAAAACAATAAAAATAAAAGAATTAGTACTTTCTCTAATCACATCATGTTAGAAAATTCAGATAAAGATTTATGCTATTGAGATTCTACATCTAAAGCCGCATTTAATAAATAATTGCAACAGAAGAATTCATAAAGTTGAGATGAAATGGTTGGTACAAGTCTGTTGATAATGAAGTCTAGCTTATTGCATGCTAGCTTGGCATCTCGATGCATTCAAATGTTGAAGAATAGGCCTGAGTGCTTGTGACCTTTAAAAAAAAATTCACTAGTTTCCTATGTGGAATGTTATCTGTTATGGACCTCGTGCTTTCTTATCTATAAATGCCCTTTTGCTCTACTTTCAATTGAGAAAAAAAATATTTGGGATGTCTTTATGAGCTTAAAAAATTCTTGCCCAACGCTTTTGAGAGAGTTTAGCTCTTGGTTGAATTTTCAGAAGCCAAATTAGATTGCATGCATGACACTACTTAGAGATTTTGCCCTTATTTTGTGAGAATTTGAAAATCTAGTTCCAGATTTCCCATCTGCACGAGCCGCTATAGTTAATTATCCTTCTTGGTGATGAGAGAGAATTATCGATTAAGGCTAGTTAATTGAAACTAAGTGCTTAATGTATTGTATTAGTGATTTGATGTTAGGATAGGAAAATATATCATGTTGAGTTTAAAGTGGATGGTGGGAGAATGATCATGAATTTGATTAAGATCCCATAGTTTTCCATTCTAGGTTGTTATGATGTTTACTTAGTTTGTGGTGATAGTCAACACAATCTAATCACAATATTCTTGTTGGCAGCTATGTGTTTTGTTGTATATAGGGATTTTGTAGGCTTGGGTTGGATGCTTATTTAAGGGGATCCTTTTAAACTAACCCAACTAACAGAGGACTATTTGCATTATCAAGTGCACTCTATAATTCATCACTAGAGAGATTTGGGATCATTGGGGAACATTCATGTTATGACTGTGATCATGATTTAATAGTGCAATTTTGCTGCAAAATTATCTTACGAAAGGGCACTAGTCATAACTGTTATTTTGCGATGCCATTTGACAGCAAAATATTCTAGTTATTGCAAAATTTTCATGCTCTTCTTGGTTTGAGATCTTTTGAGAGTGATTGTAGTGATATGCTTGACATGACATCGATCTTTGTGAGCTTATGTTAATTTTAAATTTGTCACCTTCAATAAATTATTGCGAAGAGCAGATGGCTTTTCACTTTAAACTTAGGGTTGTCAATTTTACTTGAAGCATTTAAATTTTATGATTTTTCTTTAAATGTTTACATTTTTTATCTGAATTTACATCTGAAATGATTGATAATGGATTTGGGGGTATTTTATAAATAGGATCCCCTTCGATTCATATTTTCTATCAATACACCATCATTGAGGTTGGATTATCTGACATTTGCAATTAAAAACGTAATTTTTTGCAATTTAAAAACTTAATTTTTGAAAATAGACCCTTCCGATTATGATGTACCGTAAGCATGCCCATCATAAGAATTACTTGCTTCATTGGACTTTCTCATATTGAATTTTATCAACTTTGCCTGCTTACTGGCAGAGGATTGGGTTCATGGGTTCAAGTCTATTCTAATTTTTGTAATGCGGAGGATCGTGCTCAAAATATGGGACTTCCATCCTTGCCTCATAGATAGGGCAACCTGCTTGACTACATGCATAGAAGTTGAATTTGAGTTTGAATTTAAACTAGTTTAAATTTTTAAAATAATTGCAAGACTTCTAAAATATATGCATGCGTCTCTAAGTGGGAGAGTACTAAGTTCATTCTCTTTTTTAGTTCGCGTAGCATTCTTAGCCTTACATGGTCTTTTGCATGCTCTTTTGTGCTTTTATATAATGCATTTGCATGCTTTTTGATGTTTTTTTCGTTATGAACTTGCACACTTTTCGGTGCATTTGTATAATGCACTTATATGCTCTTCAATGAATTTTTATTTGAACTTGCATGCATTTAGGTGCATAGGTTTTCAGTACTTGCACGAAGAAATACACAATAAAATTTTCACTATATTGGGACAATGCGAACAAATATTTAAGCACGAATTTTTTCACTGCACTGGAATAACACACACGAGTGGTTAAAATTTTTAGGGTTTTTTTTTACATTTATATCTTCGCAACAGGTGATTGATGATGATGCGAGGCAACAAAGTTGCAGTTAGAATGGAAATGCACTCCACCTTTTTTTTTTGCTATTTTTGAAGAGAGAGAGAGAGAGAGAGTTGATGATTTTGATTTGCAAAGGTCTGAGAATAACAGAGTTGGTTTGCTGGCGAAGCTTTTTAGAGAGAGATTGTGTCTCACAGTGAGAAGAAAAATCTTGAAGTCCATAGAGTAAGTCATGAAAGCTTATCATGATTGAATGTTGATCACATCTTTGTCCAAGAAAATGATAAAAAAAAAAGAAAAAAATGGTTTAAAAAAATCTCATGTGGTAAAAGGTGACGGTCCCTTGCTCTTGCGGAAGGCTCAAATTAAGGTTCTTACCTTTGTAATGTTTTGGGAAATCCATGAGTCCATGGCTTTGCCTTGCTTGCTTGAGCACTTAAGGTGCTAATGCGTGAGACCTCTATCGGTATACTAAAATTCTTGAGTTTCAGGGGTGCAAAACAAAAAACTATAAGCAGGTATATGAAACTTTAATATGCTGACATGTGATCCTGTATAGCACTTGAGCGGTACAACACAATTCAAATTAGCCTGTGTTATGCCAATGGTCTACCTGCAATCATTAGCATCAATGTATCACAGCTTAAATACTTGCTTTAGACCTAAGCAAAATGTATTCTTTATTCTTACCTTGTTTGTGGCATACTTGTGTGGTGTTACTTATGAATTTTTTTCATTTTTGACAAATTTTTCAATTACTAGGTTCAAGCGTTTGACTGGCAGGCATGAGGTATCTATCTCAGCTAGAGACTACAAGTTTTACTCACCACGCCATAAATATAGACGGATTCAATCACAATCTATCTCTAATATCAGTCTTGCGGTAAGCTTACACAGCCACTGACTACCTTAATAAATCACTACTAATTATATTTATTACCCGTTCACTTCTCAGGCGTTTTCAGCTACCGACAGTTCTTGTCCGTTAACAAATGTTGCAGGATTCCGTCCAGTAAATGAGGTCAGTCATACCAAATTCAGCTTATTTTATCTGAGATCTTTTTATTATCTGCGTATCTTCTGCTGAAATATTTGAAGTCCTTGTTTTTGGTTGATCATATTGCAAGGAGTCTTGTTTTTCCTCTTTGAGTCCTTTAACTGATTGTCCTTCTTTATGATTCTTTTCATTAAACCAAGTAGTACCCACATTGCTTTACTGTATAAACCTTATCAATGGGTTGCTTCCTACCATCATAATTTAAATTTGCTTACTTGATAAGATATATCTGATCTGATGGATCTTTAAAGCAAATATCTTCAATCTATTAAAGTGCAAGCGTTGAGTATTTTTCCATGAGGTTTTCTTTTTTATCATTCAATATGATATTTATTGTCACTACAGGCTTTATAAATGAAATGTTAAATCATCATTCAATTATGTTGGGGTGCAACTAATGTGAAACAACCAGGATTTTAAAGAAATAATAAAAGTTTTATAAGCTTGCTACTTCACGAATAATGGATTACAAAAAAGATTAAAGAGTTATTTTTGGCGACTTGTTTTAGCAATCGGTTGCAATTTAGAAGGAGAAGCCAATTCAAAACAAAATCGACAAATCAGAGTAAAGTTTAATGCACTTGTTATAACAATCCATAGGTTAATGTCAAGAGTTTTCACCTGAAGTTCCCTTGTACCTCTCCAACGTTCTATGGGAATTATTTAATGGAGAGAAGTCTTGAGCGAACTGGACGATGCCACTTAAGAGGACGGTGACGCCGATGGTCTTGATGAAAGGGGAAGTAGCCGGAGAAGGAGGTAAGGTTGAATGTCCCACGAGTTGCCTCTACACGGTGAAGATGTTTTTATAGATGTTATGGATGCCAAAATAGTTATGCAAGCTTAATTAATAGCCTAGGATGAATTCTAGCACAAGTATCGCATGCTAGCCATGCTCTGATACCAGATGATGCAGGACTACTTAAATGACATGCTCATGGATTCATGTGGGCATTGCACAACTAATAGATTAGAACAATTTCGGAACAAAATTACAAGCAATTTTCAAACGACAATTAAAACAAATGACGCGATCAATTGCGTAGGCGAAACCACATGCTCCGAATTTGAACTAACAAGATAATTGAGAAAATAAAAAACAATACCGAATAGTAGTTTTCAAATTAAATCCCTAATCTAACAACGAGACGTAGGATGCATAGAAGATTACACTCAATTCCTACAAAATAATAATAATAATAATAATAATAATAATAATAATAATAATAATAATAATAATAATAATAATAATAATAATAATAATAATAATAATAATAATAATAATAATAATAATAATAATAATAATAATAATAATAATAATAATAATAATAATAATAATAATAATAATAATAATAATAATAATAATAATAATAATAATAATAATAATAATAATAATAATAATAATAATAATAATAATAATAATAATAATAATAATAATAATAATAATAATAATAATAATAATAATAATAATAATAATAATAATAATAATAATAATAATAATAATAATAATAATAATAATAATAATAATAATAATAATAATAATAATAATAATAATAATAATAATAATAATAATAATAATAATAATAATAATAATAATAATAATAATAATAATAATAATAATAATAATAATAATAATAATAATAATAATAATAATAATAATAATAATAATAATAATAATAATAATAATAATAATAATAATAATAATAATAATAATAATAATAATAATAATAATAATAATAATAATAATAATAATAATAATAATAATAATAATAATAATAATAATAATAATAATAATAATAATAATAATAATAATAATAATAATAATAATAATAATAATAATAATAATAATAATAATAATAATAATAATAATAATAATAATAATAATAATAATAATAATAATAATAATAATAATAATAATAATAATAATAATAATAATAATAATAATAATAATAATAATAATAATAATAATAATAATAATAATAATAATAATAATAATAATAATAATAATAATAATAATAATAATAATAATAATAATAATAATAATAATAATAATAATAATAATAATAATAATAATAATAATAATAATAATAATAATAATAATAATAATAATAATAATAATAATAATAATAATAATAATAATAATAATAATAATAATAATAATAATAATAATAATAATAATAATAATAATAATAATAATAATAATAATAATAATAATAATAATAATAATAATAATAATAATAATAATAATAATAATAATAATAATAATAATAATAATAATAATAATAATAATAATAATAATAATAATAATAATAACATATTTAATATTTTAGAGAGAGAAAATTTTAATATTAGAATTAAAGAATATTTCAAATGAGAGAAAAATTACAGAGAATGCATTTATACAAGTATTATATTAGCGACAATTTGGGTGGTGCCTAAAGTAAATTATCCAGATATCTGAATCAACGTGAGTGCTCATGTTTCTTTTATTATAGCAATGACATTATTTTCTCTTCAATTAAATGCTTTGAAAGATAATGTCTACTTATGAAGTCTTTATTATTAGCAATATCGTGTTTTATCTTTTTTTCATACGCAATGATTGATCATGTTAAGTCAAATGAAAATTAATATTTTATGTTTCACATTATCATATAAAGCTAATGAATGTTATAAAAATGAAATAGCTAGATAGATATGCTTGAATGTGCATGTTGACTAACGGAGCACTCTCTTATGGTACTAGCTTTGGAGATAATGTATTTGTGCATGTAAATGGAAAAGATTCTGGGAAAGAAAAAAGAAAATAGAAAAGGAATACTTTTATTGGTACTATTTTAGACAGTGACTCCTGTGATGTTTGTATTGCTTACGAAAAAGGATAAAGAAATGATATAGGCATAACATTGAAAATCTTGAAATAAAATGATGAGATATAATTACTTTATACACTGAAATGATCATGCATATAGTTTCAAATACCTTGAGTTACTATAATTTATAAGCATTATTTACTCGCTGAATTCTTTTATGACTCACTCTTAATTTATAAATGAATAGGTACTATTCAAAGCTTAAAATGAGTAGAAGAAAAAATAATGTATATGGTAGGCGCGGCGCACAAGAAAAAAGGTATTTATAATATTTAACTTTGTTTTAAAAGTTGTGGTTATAGTGGCTCTTTCAATTTATTGGAGATAATTTTGGCAAATGAAATTTAATCAACTGTTCGACTATCTATTCCTGCCTGTGTTAATTCAGGTGACATAACATTTCCTCCACCCCTCCAAATCGATTTTTCATACAGTTTTCCATAAATGGGAACTTTCTTCCATGGTAGCGAGATTCTCCTCCAAACCAGTTTTGAATTGCTCCATCTCACCTTTGAACGCCTCCACCTTCTTCGCTGTCATTCACGGATCTACGTTTCAAATGACAAAAATCAGCAAAAAATAGCAATTAAAGTCTTCAAACTGCAAAAAGTTGCAAACTAGAGAGATAAGGAACATAAATCTGCGAGGAGAACGAAGATTTTGGTCCATAACACCTCTCTGATACCAATTTGATACGCCTTGGAGACAAACAACAAACAAACAATGGAAAACTACATAAATACTAATAATAATGGTTGATTATGTTATATAAGTTCAATTTGAAAGAAAGATACAGGTGATCAACAATTCGAGAGGTAGATCGGCTCTCCCAAACAATATAGACGTCGTTAGGAAGCCCTAAAAGAAAAACTATAGCAAAACCAAATCAAAATCTACATAAAATAATATAAACCCTAAACTTAGCCTTAAATAAGCTTCTCCTACTTTCCTCCTAAATCTTCTCCTCTTCATAATATATTTCCCTCTCCAATTTAAAATTCAATTAGGAAATTTTCCTAATTAAAACCTTCCTAAAGCAGCCCCTTTTCCTAATATATTTCTCTCCAATTTGAATTTCAACTAAGAAATCCATCCTAATTAATAACTTCCTTTATTCCACATCTCACATAATGAATTAATGTTTTACTAGATCCCCCAAGGGCTGAAGATGTATCACTTCCCTAGAGATAATGTATCTAATACTTCATATCTTTCTTTAATACTAGGGACTTCACTAATCACGCGAACAAAATCTTCATCTCCTCTCCAAAGTCATCCTCACTCAATAACAACTCCAAATGACTATCACTCAACAACTCATTCACAACATTTTCCACACAAGTATCAACTAAATCTACTTGACAACAATCCTCACTTTAATCCTTAGGAAACTTCATAAGATTTCAAGACATTGAAGGTGACTTCTTGGTCCTTAACTCTCATAGTCAATTCCACCTTTTGCACATCAATCATAGCCCTACCTGTGACTAAGAAAAGTCTACCCAAGATATAAGTATTTCCTTGTCTTCTTCCATATATAGTACAGGGAAGTCCATAAGGAAAATAAATTTATTAACATTTACTAATACATCCTCTATTAGCCCTTTTAGATAGGTGGATGAATGATCAGCTAACTATAGGGTAACGATGGTAGATTGGACTTCTCCTAGGTCTAGTCTTTTAAAGATGGAGAAGGGCATAAATTTGATGCTAATACCTAAGTCACATAGTTTTCTCCCACAAAACTTGTCTCATATATCCATAGGAATAATAAAATTACCTGGATTCTAAAGCTTATGTGGGATCTTCTTTTGGATGTTAGCACAACATTCCTCAATTAATACTATTTTTTCTAAGTCTCTTAATTTTCTCTTTTTACTAGAAATATCTTTCATGAATTTAGCATAGATAGTCATCTGCTCTAGGGCTTCAGTAAAGGATATATGTTAATTTTTTAAACACATTTAAGAATCTAGAGAATTGCCTATCTAAATTATATTCTAATAATCTCTAGGGAAAATGTTGTGATGGTCTCTCAACAACCTTTCTAACAGGTTTTTATTTTTGCTTATGTATTATTATAACCAAGTCCTTGGGATCCACTATTCAAAGGGCTAGCTAACTACCCTAATTGATCTTGAATATTTCTTATTGCAG